AAACTAATAAAATATGAAAACAATGTACTACAGAATCTTCCTCTTAAAAAGATTTTCCTATTAAAATGTAGCAAAGCTATGTGCGCATACCTAGGAGATCCCTCCTAGATATCCATCTAGGAGAAGGGGCGCACTCGAGCGAAGCGAGAGTAACTAGTGAGACTGTATAAATATTATAAATATGAAAGTTTGTGAGTATGTATGGATATTTGTTACTCTTTCACGCCAGAACGGCTGAGCAGATTGGAATGAAATTTGAATAACACATAGGCTACTTTTTATCCCGGAAAAATATACGGTTCCCGAGGGATAAATTTGTTTTTCTAGAGGTGAACCCGAGCGAAGCGAGGGTGAGCCGCTAGTCTGAAATATATTTACGAAACATGTACTGTTTGTATAATTTTAGTACAAGTGGCTTAGCTGAAATTTCATACATAAATAACATTGGCCACAATACTATTATAAATGTTATCTTTAATTTGATCAAATGGAAAGTGACAACTGAATGCCCAAAATTAAATAACTGATTTTAAAGATAAGCTCGATTTTTAAAAGCTTTAAGTCAGTAGTAAGTTCAGTCATCAGTAACATAAACACATACGCATACTACAATAGACATTTCTTAACAAAATAATATGATACATAAGGAGAACTTGAGCATTTCTGTTGTTAGATAAATATATGTAGTTGTTATCAATATGTAATTTAGTTCACGAATTATAAGAACGAAAAATGTAAAATAATTATAATGCCAAAGTCAAAAGCTAGAGAAGAACAAAACTAAATATACAATCAAAGTGGAAGCCTTCATCACGTCCACTTAGGCAGTCGAAAAATTCAACAATTAGCACACGTTATGATCTTTACATTTGCACAGTTTATTCACCGGTGACCTCGAAAATGCTTCTATAACATGCCGAATGTGCGTTTAACATGTTATATAAAAAGTATCCGTATAAAATTTCAGTCCGTGCCATTTTCTAAGTGTGGGTTCGATTCCTGACGACGCTATTTTTTGTATTATGCTTGCAGATATTGAGAGTATACTCATATAGCTACTATCTATTTACCTAATCTTTAACGAATTAAATAAAACGGAGAATGTAGTTAAATGTTACTGTGCTCTTAGTAAAAAGAAATTATGTTATACGAGAAATTTCTTGCTTCAACACACAGTGATTTATGATGTAGGTTACGTGTCCTTTAGTCACATTTAAAGTGTTACTAATTACTATCTAAATATGTATTTGTTTATTGTAATAATTTAAAAACAATCATAAGCGCCCAAAGAGTAAAATCATCGTAAATTTAGAAATAAATAAAAAGTTCTTAAGAGATTTGCAAAAGAATTGAAAGTTCTTATAAATATCAAAATCAAAAACAGAATTCTTATACAAGAGCTTTTAAAATTTCGTGTTAAATCTTTTTGAATAACTAAATTTTAAGATTAAATTTGTTATTTGAATACAATTCTAATAGAAACAATCAAAATAATATAAAATAAGTTATGAGTAACAATTATTATGTTTTAGGTGCGTTTTAATACATATGATTACGCATTTTCGCAACAAAAAGCAATATTAGTCGTCAATTTCTCTGTAAAATTAACAATATTTTCAAATAATATAATAATCCATACATATTAGAAATGTAACAGTATATTAAAAACATATTTTATAAGAATCAAAGTATTGTAGTATATTCTTTTTGGAAAAATGAAGAGGACTATGGTACAGCTAATCTATAAGTAATATATATCATATATAAAATTTTCATCTCTCTATCTTTTGTAAACGGCTAATCGGACGTCAATAAATATGTAAATATGTTCGGACATTAACACACAGCACCATCTAGTTCCATGGTAAGCTACGAGACATGTGTTATGGGTACCAGATAGTCGATACACTACAGATATAATATTAATAACCTTTAAATACATACATATAATAAATATAAACACCCATGACTGGAGTACAAACATTCGTGCTCATCACACAAATGAATGCCCCCAGCGGGACTCCAATCCGCGACCGCTGGTACAGCAAGTAGGGTTACTGCAAACTTAGCTAAATTTGTCGTTAATAAAACTTATTTAATACTTGTTATAATTAATCATTTTTTTTAAAGAAATACTGAAGAGCCCATCCATAACAATTTCAGGAAAACGAAAAATTTTTAATACGTGCATCTTACCGGTGTTAACATATGGATGCCAAACATGGGCATTGACAAAACTTAACAGCCAAAGGCTTTAAAGTGTGTCAACAGAGGATGGAGAGGAGTATGCTTAACATGAAGCTACAGGATAAATGGAGGCTCTCAAAAATCAGAGCAAAAACGAAAGTAACAGATGTTACCACTAGAATAAAAAGACTAAAGTGGCGCTGGACAGGACCCATGATGAGATCCCAGAAAGACAAATGGACTAAAGAAATAACGGTGTGGTATCCAAGGAACGGAAAGAGGCGCAGAGGAAGACAGGTGATGAGATGGGAAGACGACCTTCCACAGGGGTGGTGAAGGTATTCCCAAGATCGTGTTAATTGGGGTGAGCTAGAGGAGGCCTACGTCGAAAGACGACCTGACCATCGATAAAATATTAAGTTATTTTATTAGTCACAAGGAAATTTTTACTGGTCAGAGAATAAAGGCTATTTTCATTTCATTTTCATAATTAATCAAACAAACAGCAAACTTTTGTTCTAATCGGTGGAGTAAACTCAAGGGCAGTTACCTCGTTGTAATACAAATGTAATGTGCAGTATATTGGTCAAAATGAATGAAGAAACAATTTTTGTAGAAGGCAACATTATTAATGTAATTCAGATTACATATCATTCACCACCTGCGAAGAACAACGTTGTAACTTAATATAGTAATATTGAATTTGAACTTAAAAAATATAAATATAATTATGTTTAAATTATTTTAATACTGAGTAACAGATTTGTTCTTTACAGGTACCGTATTGTGGAGTCACCAGTGTGAGCCTCTTTAGATAAAAATAGTTTATATGCATATTCAGCTTCATCAACCGTCTGCAACGCAATTACACTCATTTCGTGTTAAACAATATTCATGGTTCCTAATATCACACAAAACCGTTTTATCGTTAAAATAGTAAAATACACACACTTAATCATCAACTACAGTAGTAGCCCAGTTCAGTGGTAGCCCAGTAACGCGCTCGTTTTAGAGCCCGAGTGAAGCGGTTTCAAATCCCGGGTCTCGCACCTCTGATATTTTCATGTGCGAATCATTTCTAACATGATTACCACTTGTTAACCCAACCCGCACTTGCCCAGAGTGGTGGACTATGGCCTGATCCCCCCTCGTATTGAAGGGAGGCCCGTCCCCAGCAGTGGGACGCTAAAAAGGGCTGAATACAATCATCAACTGTATTTATAATAGTACTAGCAATACCTGCATTCAAAGTTACGATCGCTAACAAACTTCACAACCACCCGCTGGACTAATCTGAAGATTGCCTGAAAATTTCATCAAAATCATTCCAGCCGTTTTGGAGTTCATAGGGAACATACACATCAACATACACATTTTATATGTGTATAGATAAGAAATAGGAAAGCTATTAATTCTGATCTCAGTACTCAAGCTCTTATACAGATGTTCATATTACTGATAAAATAGGCTAAAATTTATGATAAAATTAAAAAAAATGATTAGAACATGTACCTAACATGTTCTACTTAATCATTTTTTTTAATTGTAAGTTTAAACAAGTTCTTAATAGCAAAAACAACTTATCTTTCATTAAACACGCCGACTCTAACATGATGTCATGTCATCATTACGATACTCACTATTATGCGATTGAAATCTTTTATCTATTTTAATCTATTTTCTTACGCTATAATATATATATATATATATATATATATATATATATATATATATATATAAACAAAAAACAAAAAAATAACTTGAATACTTCATTGATCTTTTTTTATTAAATTATTAAGCTATAAAAATACTATTTGTAATAATCTAAAGCTTTATTTACGGTATTTTTGATACCATTTTTTTATCACTGATTGATATATAATTAAAAATAACAAAATGCAATGCCTTTATTCTCAGAACTCTACTTAAATTATTTGTATGGCTATTTAATAATAAACACATCGTATTTCAAGTAAAATGGATGCCAAAAATACTTTCTATATCTATGGTAATATTATAGAGAGGCCGAGTTTGTTTGTTTGAACGCACTAATCTCAGGAACTACTAATCCGATTTGAAAAATTCTTTTTGCATTAGATAGCCCGCTTATTGAAGAAGGCTATATGCTAAATTATATCATCATGGTACTACTAAAGGGAGCGGAACAGTACGTAAAATAATATATAGTCTATAGTCTATCTATTCTATACTAATCGTTAAAACGTACCTAGGGACGAACCCGAGCGAAGCGAGGGTGAGTCACTAATACAATTATAAATGTAAAGACAAACACTTACAAGCTAAAAAACCGTGTGCAAGATCTTTAAGTAATAGATATTCAACAAAGTAACTAAATTAATTAGACGAAGTCAAAGTAAGGAAGCTTTATTTACCAACATTACGAGTACATTAATTTATAACATTCACAGAAAGTTTTATTTAGATGTCAAGCGTAAGAATGTTCGAATTAGATATTATTTAATTACATACTTTATCGATTTTATATGAAGATTAATTGTATAAATATTAATTTATTCTATTAATTATAAAAATGTCTACATCGACATAATTGTTTTCGGTATGACGGCCATTAAACTCATATACCTATTCAGCACAACACCGAAGCCCCATTTTTTTGGAATTAGGTAAATAAATTCAATAATAACTTAAATAAAACAAAAATATAAAAAAAAATCACGAGACAAATATATCTCTAAAAAACAAAAAAAATCTTAAAAAAAATAACAAAAAACCTGTGAAAGTGACACTTGTGGATGGAAGAGATCACTCCGCAATAACAAGAAGGCACTTACCCTCACAATACAATGTGACATCAGCGAGACTCTCAGAGTTCCATAGGTTTGCGAACGATGTCGCTAAATTCGAGCCGAAGCTGTTCCACTTAAGGCAGTACTGCTGCTGCTGGGAGTCCATGCCCGGGCCGCCTCGGATACCTGCCCTGTTGAAGGAAAACAACTGTTATTATATTATAATAACTTTACTACATTAGATGAGTTACGTTCCAAAACGTTATATAGTTAGTTGGTTTAGTAGGGCAAAGAATTCTATCAAAATCAAAACAGTAAGGGCTTTCATGTGGAAAATCCGTAATAATATTATAAATGTAAAACTTTTGTGAGTATGGATGTTTTTTACTCTTTCACGCCATAACGCCTGAACGGATCTGGATGAAATTTGGCACAGAGATAGATTATAGTCTGGAATAACACAAAGACTACTTACTTTTTATCTCGGAAAAAAGTACGATTCCCGTGGAATAGGTTTGTTTTTGTTTTCATAGAGGCGAACCCGAGGGAAGCGAGGATGAGCTGCTAGTCAAAATAATAAGTCAAACATTGACTGAAATAAATTTCCTAGAAAATGGTAGTTTATAGATGTTGTAAATATGTAGATATTCTGTTTTACTGAGTAATCATTAGTTAAGACAAATTTACAATAGACTTTATCAAACAAAGTGACAAACAAATTCATTTAATAGTAGAAAAAAAAATACCCTAAAAATAATAGAGTACTGTTTAAAAACCATCGTAATAATCAAACGTTTGCGGACCCACCAACAAGTATATAGTAAATTTTTAACTAGCGCCAACTGACAGTTCTCATGTGCTACAGAATTATTAAGTAAGCCGTATTTCTAGGAAGTAAGACGTATCGATTATAAGGCGTATCTATACATGCAATAAAACTAGCAGAATCCGCGACTTCGCTCGCGCTAAAACTACAAAAAATCACTAAAAAGTTAGTTTCATACAAACTTTTATCCCCTATCGTACCCCTTATATGATAAATTCCGAGCAATGCCAAAACACGTATTCATTTAATTTTGTTGAAGAACATGAATATCAAGTTTCAAGTAATTCTAATCGTAAATATTTTTTTGGATTGTATTAAGACGTGTTTTCCCGTAGGAATTACATAATATCTCGCGATAAAAAGTAGCCCATGTCACTCCATCCCTCCAACTATCTCCACACAAAAAATCACGCCTATCCGTCACTCCGTTTCGACGTGAAAGAACGTCAAACAAACAAACACACTTTCAAATTTATAATATTAGTATGGATTCTAACTCAGTCGAATCTGTACATTAAATATTTTTTGGAAAATCTTATTGAAATAGTAATTATTATCGATACAGATACAGTTATTATTATCGATACAGTTTTTAGAATTTTTGTCTGTCTGTCTGTATGTTACCTCATCACGAGAAAACCACTGAACAAATTTTGATGAAATTTGGTATGATGATAGTTGGTTATCTGGGTCAACAAGGATACTTTTTACTGCGGGAAAATATCTCATCTCTGAGAAATCTAATTAAACGTTAACACGTAACTAGGGGCGAACCCAAGCGAAGCGAGGATGAGTAGCTAGTATACGCGTATATGCGTAACTGAAAATATTACAGGGGTTGTCATATTTAAAAGAAATTAAAACTTTATACAAAGATAAATCAATCTTAGTTCTTAACTACTTATCAAAGATGCTTTTAAAATATAAATACGCATCTGGCAAAACGTTTATTTTGTCGATTTTTCTAGGTACGATATTATGATTCAGTTATGATATCTATACTAATATTATAAAGGGGCAGAGTTAGTTAGTTAGTTTGTTTGTTTGTTTGAATGCGCTAATCTTAGGAACTACTAATCCGATTTGAAAAATAGTTTTTGCATTAGATAGCCTGTTTATTAGGAAGGCTATATATCACCATGCTACTACCCAAGGCAGCGGAGCAGTAATCATAAATGTCAACAAATCGGGCAGACTACCATACATTATTACTAATAGCATAAAGCCAAAGAGCTTTTTTCTGCTAGTTTTTCTAATATAACAGAAAGAAGGCTTCCATTTTATTTTATTTTTACTAAAATTCGTATAATTTCTTTCTTCATATAATAACTGAATAAACTAAAGACGAACTTTTTAAGTAAGAAACTTTCTGTGTGAGTTAGTACGAACTTTCTTTATGGATTCATTATATTAAAAAATTTAAGAATGTTCTTGAAAAAAAAGGGTGAACACATAACACAGTTTCTAAATATTTTTATTTATTTATGCGTTGAAATAGCACACATCAATTTTTACATTTATAAAATATTATGTTATATCCAATAACAATTATTAATTTCAAAACTCCTTTAGTACGCAGGCAGGTAGGTTCGAATCAATAAGTGCATGTCTCGAACATGCGCATTAGATGCAAGCGATGTAACAGAGAAAAATAAAATATTTAATAATTTCTATGAATAATTCTTAAAATATAACATTAAAAAAGAGAAAAGAAAACAGATTAAATAATATCAACAAGAATCTAATTTGTTACGAAGAAAAAAAAAACAACGCAAGCCTCTTGCACAATAATAGCAACAATCAATAGTGCACATCGTGAAGTTTAAATATTTATTACCTTTGCCGAGACCGCAAAAGGGACTTGGCTCTATAATTTCGAGCCATTTGTCCTAAAACGTCGGAAAGCACGAGTCGATACCGTATCGATTTGATTCCCAGCACAGTTACTGCCTAACTGTACATTTGCATGCGTGCACGTATACTGGGCCAGTATTCGTTGAGCTGTCGAACGATGTTCTGCGGGTTGGGTGTTGCGTGGGGGGGAGGTCAGGTGAGACTGGTCATGGAGGAATTTCGGCTGCGACCCGGTTCCGGAATGCAGCACACGCGCACGCGCAGTGCGTGGGGGGAAGGGGCGCTGCACCGAGTTGCGCAAAGTGCCGCGGCAACGGTCAACGGCGGCATAGAGTAATTATCGTGTAGAAACGACAGGGTTACATAATATTTTATTATTTCTAACTACATTGCGCTTGGAAATCGTTTTAAGTTCTAATAAAAGGCTCTGCAATAATAATTTCCCGTTGATATTATAAAATTGTTAGATTTAATAAAAACTTAGTAGATTTTTGTTTTGAAGTCAGGGAAAAGAAAAAAAAGGTTTTAAAGTTAACCTTTTAACTTGCTAACAACAATAAATTTTAATAGTTTCCATTGAATAACTAGTGACTTACCCACGCTTCGCTCAAATGCATACTTACTATTATTATTATGCATTATATTATATAGATATGTACTTGTGTATGTTGTAGTATGTACATATGTTATGGTATATAATATGTATAATGTTTTATTGTATGTATATATAATATATATTTATTTAAGTATTTATATTTGAGTAACTGCACTTCGGCTGCTTTTTAATACTATCTCTCTAACTCATTTAGGTTGACTGGAAGAGATCTCTTCTAGAGATAAGTCCACCTTTGCTAACTAATTTTATTGTTTGTTACTCTCTGTATTTTACATATAAGTGCAATAAAGAATAGTAATAATAAATGCCTTCTGTACAAATTATCTATACTAATATTACAAAGAGGTAGTTTGTAAGTTTGTGAAGTTGTAGGTGGTAATATCTGGATCTACTGAACCGATTTCAATGAAATTTGGTAAGAAGATAGTTTAAGACCCTGAGAAGGACATAGGATACTTTTTATCCCGGAAACCATCCCTTAAAATAAATGTGCTGACTTTCATACAAATCTATACAGACGTTTTAACGTAAACGTAGACACATACACCCTCACATACAAACTTTCGCATTCGTAACAGCAGCGTGATAATTGAACGTCGTATTACTAAATTATCACTACCTATTATACTCGTAATGAGATAAATATATACTACAAAAACAAGATACACGTATTTCCAAGTACACAGCAACGATAACGGATTTATAATAAACTCATAAAATGAATCTCATTCAAGAATGGAAAACAATATCCGCGGCTGGATGTGCCAATGTCCGCCCTTTATTTGGGTTAACATGCTTCACGAACCGCGAAAATCATCTAAAACATTCCCTATTCAAATGTTATAGGCGAAAATGGGAAAAGTTCGCGGGTAACTGGAATATATTCCAATTTTTATCGTATCACGTAATATATGTTACATATCACGTAATCTTGTTTAAACTTTAGTTTTCCTATATTATAATATGACGACACGTTTGGCTCAGTTTGTAGTGTCGCGGATTTGAGTCCCGCTGTGGAGGAGATATGTTTGTACACCGATCTCATTGCTTCCGGTCTGATTATATTTAGGTATAATATATATATATATATATATATATATATATATATGTATTGAAAGTTATTTATATCAACTGTCTATTATCGATAACACAAGCCTCGTAGCTTACCATGGAAGTAGATGGTGTTGTGTTAATGTCCCAACTCCCAACATTTATTTATTTAATAAAAAAAACGTAAAAATCTTGATAGCTTTGATATGTAATGGTGCTGTTGCATTAACAGTGTGTTTTAATTAACGTTAAAAAAATTAAATCCTTTGTTATTTATAGTACCTACCTATATATTGAAAATGCTCAAATAATATAAATAAATCAAAAATCTTAATAACAGAGTTGAGAGCTGATTAGAGTCACACGTGCTACAAAAATTAAAATAAAATTAGAAATGCATATATTTTATAGAGCTAAACACATGCCTCCGCTTGCATACTTTATATATTAAACTTCGCACCTAAAAGCTCTTGTTAGATAACTTCTTCAACCAATAGATTATTAAGTACAAAACATATTTTTTTGTCTGACTGACTCTTCCAGTAAATTGTGCAGAAAACAAACAAAAAATTAAAAAAAAAAACAAATTCAACCTTCAAAGTCAAAATTCAAAATACAATTTACTAACAGACTAACCTATTTTAACATGGATACCCATAGAACCGTTCATATCAAACGATCATATTTAGTTCCTTTATAGTTTATACACTGCGTCCGCCGTGGGAATATGTCAAATCATTTAGGTATAGGTTGTGTAATTTAAGTTAGAGAGGGGAACGACGAATCGCAATCAAAGACGCATAGCCGTATTTGTAATATTATATCCATATTTTATATCTGTTTACTTACTAACTCTATCATGCGACTCTACTTGTATTCAAACTCTATACTGTTTCGGTAAATTATATCTATTTAATTACTGTAATGCGCGAGAATGTATGTAAAACATATATTATCGATATAAAAATAATAACGACGTTAGCTCTATATCTATTTAGGCGTAACGATAAGTGCTCTATGACAGAATCCGCTGTTGAATTAGTCCGTTGTTCGTCACTTCTTAACCTACTTCAAATGTTTTATGACCGTTTCCAAACAAACGATTTATTTAAATTCTATGTGTGTCATATTCAGGAAAGGTCTGCTTTGTTGATTATTAAATATTTCGAAATGTTTCAAAGTAAGTTGTATTTTCATGTACTTAATGAAAATCGTTCGGGTTCGCCTTTAGAAAAACAAAAACAAATCTATCCCACAGGAATTGTATATTGTTCCGGGATAAAAAGTATGTGCTAAACGTAAAGCCTATGGGCTATGGTGTTTTAGACTATAATTTATGTCTGTGCCATATTTCGTCCAGATCCGTTCAGCCGTTCTGACGTGATTGAGTAACAAACATTCAAACATCGAAACTTTTACATTTATAGTAAGATTAGCAAGGAAAGGTAACTACTGTGAAACAATTCGATACATATACCGGTGAAGGAAAAAAATGCTTTTCAGACTATTATATTATGTAGTTAGTATTAAAGTTCAGACTACGATGGTACGACCGTGTCATGAAGACTGAAGAGATCACATGAACATGAAAGTGCTTGAACACGAGTCAAGAAAGACCAAAACAGCGCGGAAGACCCGACTTACATAGATGTATGTAGTTAGAAAAGACAGAAAATAAAAATATTGACTCAATGACGATCCAGAAAAGAAAAACGTGGAGAATGATTAGGAAAACCGACCCCAAATAAAGATGGAATAGGGCCAGAAGAATAAGAGAATGTAAAGGTAAAGTATTTTTTTATATTAGATCAGAATGTACATATAAGAAAAAATCTTTCACCAATAAAACGTTTCAATAATATTGATACCATGAAATTAAAGTGTATTGACGTATTCTACAAGATAAAACAGTTAAAAACCTCGACCTTGGCAGGAACCGAAAGTACTTAAAATCGACTGCTAACGAAAAAACGACGTAGCGTGCAACATTAGTAAAGCTATATTTTATACACATTTTCCTTTCTTTACGCTATTACTGTATCTAAATATTCAATGAAAATAACAAGTGTATTCCTAAAATAGTAATCTTGACATTCGTACAATTTATATATTCATTAGTATTAAACAGCATCGAATTTATCGCCTAATATATCCCCAAAAATTAAATCTAATTGAATCACCTCAAAAGAAGTGGTGTGCAAAATTACGTTTAACTTGATCAATGATACTTTAAAATGTGTTAATAATAAATTTTCAAGTAAACATACTAACTATTATAAACCAAATCAATGAATATTATTATTGGCAAGTAAATAGTGAAAGCATTTCAATCTTTCATTCCACATTCGGCTATCTTTCAATTAATCTTAGGCATATTTATAAAAAAATATAATTGAATGTTTGGCCTATTTCGTATATTATTAAACTATAGATTATATATATATATATATATATATATATATATATATATATATATATATAATCTATATGATTAAACTAACTCGAGTCAGTAGTACAGCTACGGGTATAGTTGTCCTCAACTGAGTTATGCGGAAATGAAGCATTTTGTGCAGCTCTGACCGAACTTACAAAAGATCAAACACAAAGAGTTCAAGACTTACGCCAATTCCTTTTCCGGTAATTGAGATTTAAATTTTATTAGCGGAAGAGTTCCTTATATAAATTAAGAAATAGAGTAAATATTTAAACTTATAATTTTTTTTATTATACTCTTTTTTGGTTTTTAGAGTTTCTTTTTGTAATAACTTACAAAACTATTAAAAAATTCAGAACGAAATCAACGAATACTATTTAGTGTAACAGATACACAAGGCGTTATATTATAATAATTAGGTGGGTACATATAAATGTATGTTTGTTTGTTTTAAATATTTCCTTAATAATGGGATGGGTGACATCCACATAACTTAGAAAGGGAGGCGCGGCCCTTGTCCACTGCATAACTCGGCCGAGTTAGGTAGGTATGTCGATAATTAAGGTTTAGAATTGCATAATAGGCGATTAAAATACTATTTTTATTATAAAATATTGTACTATGATGAGTGCGTGCAACTTTTACGTGCAGTTGAAGTAAAACTTCTTTAGCGCTGTGGCCGCAATTAAATTAAAACAAATCAAAATATAAATATAATAATTAAAAAAAATATATTAGTAATAAATATTCATTTTTATAAGTAATAATTATTATAAAATAAAAATATATATAAATATATATATTTATATTTTAATTATTAATAATAAAGACACTCACTTCCGCAACACCCACTTCCGGGACACTCATTTTGCCAAAGTATGGACTTACCCCTCAAAAAATCTCTAAAAACTACCTTTTCAGATTTTTTTTTTGTAGTTTTAGCGCAAGCGAAGCCGCGGGTTCTGCTAGTATAATATAAATGTATTCATATTTTGGCAAGCAACCAATGCCACCTATTAGGTTTTTTTCTGACAATAGCATATACTCCAGATAATCTGTTAGTGTACAAAGTTTCATCCAAAAAAAACTAGCCGCTTCAGCGAGTAACAAACATACACACACAAACAAACTTTCACATCTATATCAGTAGTGCGATAACAAGATCTATATATCCCATTCTGTTTCATCGCACATTGAAATTCCATACAAAATAAACGACCTCGGTCCCAGTCGA